GGACAGCAGGTGATCAGGAGCTGACGGAGGACAGGACAAATGTAGGAAGGGGGTCTTTCCCTCAGAGCTTGGAGCCTTCTCTGTAGCCCACGCCAGCAAGTCTGGGGAGAAAAGGCTGACACTTTTTAATATTTAAACTTTTGGGGCACTTCCCAGGGGAAGTCTTCCCTGCCAAAGTGGCCATAGGCAGCAGTCCTCTGATAAACTGGCTTCTTCAGATCCAGATCCCTGACAATGACTTCAGGGCGGAGGTCAAAATTCTTCTTCACAATATCTACTAGCTCTTGCTCTCTCTTCTCAGAGGTGCCATAATGGAAAATGGAAATTGATAATGGGTGAGAAACTCCAATAGCGTCATTGACCTGCACAAGCACCCTTCTGCACAGATAGATCTCTTTCAATGAGGGATTTTGCCACCCAACGGGCAGCATAAGCAGCTGAGCGGTCCACCTTGGTACAATCCTTTCCTGAAAAGGCACCTCCTCCATGAGCTCCCCAGCCTCCATAAGTGTCCAAAATTATCTTCTGGCCACTCAAACCAGTACTAGCCTGAGGACCCCCAATTACAAATCTGCCACTAGGCTGTATGTGGTAGATTGTGTCCTCATCAAGATACTTTGCAGGAACAACGACTTTAATGACTTTCTCCTTCAGGGCCTCCCTCATCTCATCCAGAGAAACATCTTCATCATGCTGAACAGACATAACAATTTCGTGGATTCTGATGGGCAGCACAGCACCTCGATCCTTCATGTACTGCACAGCCACTTGAGTTTTAGAATCTGGGCATAACCAAGGTAAGGTGCCATTGCGACATAGTTCAGCAAGTTTGGTATTGAGCTGGTGGGCTAAGACAAGGGTTAAAGGCATACATTCTTCAGTTTCATCAGCGGCATAACCAAACACCATGCCCTGGTAGTCTCCTGCACCAACCTCCTTCTCATTCAGGTCAAGGTGACCCCCTTGAGCAATGTCTGGTGACTGTTGTTCCAAAGCCACCTGAACAGCACAAGCCTTGTAGTCAAATCCTTTGGAAGAATCATCATAGCCAATGTGCTTGATGGTATCACGAACTACTTTCTGGTAGTCAATGGCAGCTCTGGATGTAATTTTCCCAGCAAGAATAACAAGTCCAGTGTTAATAATAACAGTTTCACAAGCCACTTTGGCGTCAGGATCCTACTGAAGGTGGGCATAAAGAACAGCATCACTGATCTGGTCACAAATCTCATCTGGGTGTCCTTCCCCCACGGACTCCGAGGTGAACAGGAAGGTGCCCTCCTTGTAGGATCTGGAGACCTGCACGCTCACGGTGGTGAGTGAACGTGGAGCTAAAGGAGAAGGGCTGCAGCGAGGCGGAGGGCGGGGACCAGATACCCCGAAAAGGCTTTAACAGCCAAACTATATAAAGAACTCCCACAACTCAACAACAGCAATAATAATAATTTTAAAAGGCAAAGAAATTGAGTAAACATTTCTTCAAAGAAGATGTACAAAGTGTGCAAATGGCCAATAAAAACATGAAACAATGTTCATTTCCATTGTCATTCCAAGACTCACTGCCATTGAGCCAATTCTGAGTCATAAAAATTCTATAAGACAGAATAGAACTGCCTATTTGATTTTCTGAGCCTAAATCTTTATTTATAGAATCAGAAAGCCTTATCTTTCTCCTGGAGTGGTGAGTGATTTGAACCACTAACCTTACAGTTAGCAGTTCAACACACGTAACCACCAGGGCTCCTATAGAATATGTGGTGGACTGCTAACTGCAAGGTTATTGGTTCAAGTATACCAGCTGCTCTGTGGGAAAAAGATCAGGCTATCTGCTTTATGCAGACTTAGAGCCTCAGAAACCCTATACATTGTCTCTATGAACTAGAATGGACCTGGCGGTGGTGTATAGATTGAGAAAACGTGCTATGTACACGCAGTGGAATGTTTTTAGCTATAGACTGAATGACATTCTGATTCACACTACAAAGTTGATGCTCGAAGCAGAGGGCTAAGTGAAGTAATCTAGGTATAAAAATGGTCAATATTGTATTCTCTTATAAGAAAAATATTTCTTAGTCAAATTCCTGTACACACAAAAAATGGAAGTTACGAGATGCTGGGAGGAGCCGGGGAAATCAGCTGTTATTGCTTCATGAGCACAGAGTTCAAGTTGGGACGATGATGACTTCTGGAAGTAGATAGTAGTAGATAGAACTAGCTACTTGGGGGTTAATAGTGAAAATTCTTAACCCCAATATATTTCACACTTAAATATTGCTAAAATAGAACATTTTATATTACAGTGAACCCTTGTTTATCGCAGTTAATCGGTTCTAGACCCTACCGTGATAAATGAAATTCCGCAAAGTAGGATTCCTTATTTGTAAATCAAATATTTTCATAGTTAGAGCATAGAGGACATGAAAAAACACCCTTTAGTCACCATTACACTCATATTACCCAATTTATTAAACGAAAAAGGGAAAATACAGTAAAACATTTTGGATGTTACAATTATCATTTATTATTTATTATATTATTTATGGCGTCAAGCGTGTACAGTATGAGCCAATCAGTGGCAGTAATGACAGAGCATGCGCTGTTACGCAAAAACCGCGATAGAGTGAAGCCGCGCAAGTTGAAGCTAGTGAAGTGGCAAGGGTTCACTGTATATAACTATGTGATTGCAGTAACAATGTGGCTTTGTCTCAGGTACTGTAGACGTGTTGTCAGGAAAAGCCAGTCCCTGGAAAAGGTCATCACGCTTGGGCAAGTGGAGGGACAGCCAGAGGGAGGAAGGCCTTAGCAGGATGACCTGACCCAGTGGCGGCAGTAATGGGACCCGGCACAGCAACAATGTGGTGATGATACAGAACTGGGCAGCATCTCCTTCTGTGCTGCCCAGAGTTGCTATGGATCAGAAGCGACTCAGTGGCACCCAGCAACAACTAATGATAAAAATCCACTCTGTACCGTGAGCTGGTACTCTGAGAAGACAGACTATATAAAGAAGAATGAGGATTGGAGGAAGGCTCATTAACAACTTGCAAGATGCAAATGACACCTATGGTGAAAGCTCACAAGACTGGAAGCACTGATCAATGACAATCAAAGGCTACAGCCCTCAGTGTGGATTTTAGCACAGTGGAAAGAAAACAAAAATCCTCACGAGTAGGCCAATACGTAGCATCATGAGAAACGGAGCAGATCAGCGTTGTCAAGAGTTTCTTTGTGTTGGATCCATAACCAGTGCTCAGGGAAGCAGCACCTACGAAAGCAAATGCATATTTCATTGGGGAAATCTGTTGCAAAAGACTTATTTTAAGTTTTCTAAAGCAAACCTGACATTTTGAGGATTAATGTGTGCCTGACCCAAACCAGGGCATTTTCAATCGCTTCTTAAGTATGTGGTCGCTGTGCAATGAAGGAGAAACATCAGGGAAGAATCAATATCTTTTCATTATGGTTGGCAAACATATTGAAAATACCGCGGACTACCCAGAAGAGAACACAAGCTCATCGTGGGAAAAGTACAGCCAGGATACTCCCTGGAGGAAAGGATGGGGGGACTTTATCTCAGAGACTTTGCATCTGACATCCAAAGAGATTTGTCCATGGGGAAAACCCCCATGCTTGGTAAAGCAGCGGCTCAGAGAAGGGCATTCAAGAAAAGCAGAGACTGCAACAATGGGCTGGACCACACTCCTGCGAGGATGGCATAGAAACAGGCAATGTTTCATCCTGTTTTACACTAGGAGTTGGAACTAGAGCACAGGATCCTAATTCTATAAAATAACAGCAAAACAAAAAAGCTATTTTCTATAGTGTGTACATGTGTTAGCTACATAATATAGAAAAAAATCAAGAAACACACACACACATAAAATTTTAGAAGACCTCTCACAAAAGCCTCATCCACTTACTCTTTTTTGGTTCCTCCATCTGGACCCTTCACGCATCTGTTAAACTGTCTCTTAATGTTGGAAAGAAGTATGACCATTTTTACCATCTTATTTTCTGTTCCCACCCTGAAAATCTCCTTCTTGACCTTTCCAATCGACCATTGTGTGCCCCGCCCTTTTTATTCATGTCTGTCCCAGCCAAGCTTCCAAATGGAGTCCATGTGATGAGCAGGTAAAGCAGCCAGAAGGGAGCCTCTCTTGGCTAAAACAGCTCAGAGTCAGGCTGAGTAGGCAGTAGCTAAAAGCATTCCTGCATAGCTTGCTGTCTCAAGAGTTTCCAGCCAGATATATGAAATGGGGCATTTCAAACGCATTTTATCAAATAAGCCTTATTTTGAAAATATGTCATTCTCCTTGCAATTTCCCTAAGTGGTTCCGTTGCTATTGAATGTTACTATTTTCAACATCCCATAGAAAATTCTTCTCCAAGTAAATCGGGAAATCTCAACTTACATGAGTAACTTTTTCCTATTGCTAATATGGAAACTAGGTACTTGCCTTAAAGCAATTTCCATGATCCCTTTTATGAACCGGACCTCATGCATTTAATATTTCTCTATCTTGACAAAGATCACCATGAAACACTATCTAGGGGACTGAAAGTCAATTTATTCTATAAGAGCAGCAGTTCACGTACAGCTCCAGACATGGTAAAATGCTTAGAGATTGGGTGGTACGCAAAGACGGACTAGTCCAATGGGGAAGTACTCTTACGGGACTGGTTTGTCTGTCAAGAATGTCAACTGAAAGACTGTTCCAGAAATGTCCCCATGAGATATAGTAAGGGAAAGGTCTGCATAGATTATTATGAATGTAGAAGGATTTTTTTCTTATGGGAATAGACAAATAAGCATTAAATGTGAAAAAATAACAAGTGGATATGAATCTCCAAACTTCTTGCCAAGGCCTCTATGATATGACCTTATCTTTTATTACTCTTCTCACTCACCCATTACACTTCAGTTACTCTAGTCTTGGCTTGGATCCAGATCCCCCAAGTCTGCCCTTCAATCTTTACTTTCTGCCCAGAAAGCTATTCATCCAGATAGACAGCCCAGTGACGGTAACTGTGATAGGTATGTTTATTGTGCTAACCTGGCCAATAGGAACATGTGGGATTAATCAGGTCGCAGTTTGATTGGAGGACAAAGAGATAAATGGCTCTGCAATGCCCGCCCCCTCTCTCTTGTGCTCTGGTGATCTCTGATGATCGGAGTGTGCTGGAGTGTGCCTGAGAGAGCCTGCTGCTGCTGTAGCTAGTTCTCTGCCTCAACCTGTAAGCTACACTACCTGTGGGTCAGGCCAACCCATGGATCATGTTGCTGGAACTTGAGGCTCCTTTGAGACCTGCTTTGCCACACTGATGGTGGGTACATTACTTGAACTTGAGGCTGGTTCAAGTAATGTACACAAGGTGTATTCCGTCACCTTGCATTGCTGGCATTCAATATCCCATCTGGCCTGCTTCACTAAGCTCCCGAGCTGCTGACTGTTGGTGACCCACCCTGCTACTTTATGTCATTTCACTTGATCTAAATCCCAGCTGGAGCAAGGTCTTAGTCAGTTTTGCTCACCTGTCTATCCTCAGTTCCTACAACAGAGGCTGAAACATTGCAGATATTCTTAATTGTATTTTCTCTCTCTCTCTATTGTTTATCTCTAATTAGAAGGGGAGAGGGGAGTGTCTGGAAAATGCCTGAATAGAGAGGGGAGAACAATGTAAATAAAACAAAAATCCTCACCATTGGGCCAATAAGTAGCATCATGAGAAATGGAGAGCAAAGTTGTGAAGAGTAATTACGGTTCGGGTAATTACTGGAGAAGTTCTTGGGACCAAAGTGGTTGGGAAAAGGAAAACAGAGACTAGTAAATTAGTGTTTTTTTTCTGACCAACAGATTTTAGGAATTCCTAAACTGAGCTGGGCTGGGGTGGGATGGTATGGAAATCAGAAGCTGATACTAGTGAATACACTAATGAAGAAAAAGTTCTAAATTGATTGCAGGGACAATTGCACACTCTTTTTTAGTATATTTAAGCCATTGAATTGTATGGTGGGTGAACTATATGTCAATAAAACTGTTAAAATTAGAAGTTTTAAGTGCTAGTTATCATGTGGTGGTTAAATAATGTCCTGCCCATCACCCAGTTAAACCTAGCATTTACAATCCCAGGTTCATTTCTCAATTGCTGTGTGGTCTTGCTCAAGACATTTAACTTCTCTGACTGTAAATTGGAAATATATAAAGCACTTCTGAAATAGAATATTGTGGGGATTAAATAAGGTAGTGATAGCACAGTATAGGTGAGCTATAGTCAACTAATATAGCCCTTTTTAGGCTCTATGCCTGTGGCTATAATCCCATTTTGGCAGGAGTTCTGTGCTATACTAATGGACAGGATTAAGGGTGGGATCAAGTTCCTAATTTAGTAGAGGATGTGAACAAATCCACAGCCTTTGTTACCTTGGAGATGGGCCTGTTAAAAGACAAAAACACACTACCGTGCAAGCTTTTCCTCTGTGTAGAAGAGCCACCTCAGACACAGAGAGAAAACCTGGACAGTTGGAAAAACATTCATGATCTCCGTCTACAGTGACAGAGTCTAAGACCCTTAGCACCATTGAGACTGTGGACAGAGCAAAGGTACCAGGCTGAGACTAGAGGCTGAGGCAAGGAAGCCATGAGACAGAGTGGGGTCAAAATGATGGGATTGGGTGACAGAGTGACAGATGGGCCATTGGTCCAAGGAGGCAGAGACCAAGGGTCGAATAAATTAGTTGGAACAGACTCAATGCCACCTAAGAACAACAACAACAGTTTGATGTCAGTTTAGTGCCTTTTCATGTGAGGCTTCCAGATGCAGCGGTAAAGCTAGGCTAAATCCCACCTTCCAATGTTAATGATTTAATAGATAACCCATTTAAAAATTAAATAACAAAAGACCAAACCCACTGTCCCTGAGTTGGTTCCAAACCAAAGAGACCCAATAGGACAGAACAGAATGACTCTTTGAGGTTTCTGAGACTCTAAATCTGCATTTTTTGTGTCAAGGAGCATTTGGTGGGGTAGAACCACCAGTCTTGCAATTGTCAGCTAACCACTTCACTTACTATGTCACCAGCACTCCTATAAAACATAAAATAGATGAGAAAGCACTATAAGATAAATCCAATAGAGGCACAATGATGGAAGAACTGGGGCTAAGAATTTCACTGGAGCATGCGCCCACACCCGTATCCCAGTTAAGAAATTATTACAATCAGCAACAAACACCTTTATGAGGTCAGCATGGGGTAGGTAATTTCAGTGGCATAGCGGATGATAGAGGACAAACGCCATTCTTCATGAGTACAAGGATTCCCCCGGGTACAAAGACCACTGTTTCCGTCTGAGCCTCTGCACCTCCAGAATGACTGCATTTCCTAAAACAGTGTTGACAGGTGCATGAGAAGGAAGGACATCTGCTCAGGTGGGTGAGTGGTGGGAGGATAGATACCCTCTTTGACGAGATCTTTAGGTAGACCGATGATAGGAATACTCCTGATTTAATGCACAAAATCCAGCACTTCTTTCTACTCTTTCTCACGTAGAGCAACAATTGTGAGGATGGTCAAATAGATCCAGCACTGTGTTCTATCGTGAATAAAGCTTCGGAGAGTAAGCTGATGAGGCACGCAAAAATGACACCTCTTCTTTATCATTATGTACAATGAAGGAGTTAGTTTGTCTAATGTAGTCTAATCTAATCAGTTTGGTGCCCCTTTGTTACCTTTATCTGAAATTCTCTGGGATGGTGAAGGAAAAGAGCTAAAATAAGTCACCGAAGCTGCACATCTGTGATCCCAGTTTGTGACCATCATCCCTCATTTTGATGTGAAGATCTTCCAGTTTGCACCAGAGAGGTGAAAAATATTTTGCATGGATTCCTGCCTGTAATATTTTTAATTAATTTTATAAGATTTTTGTAAAATGAGACCATTGTCTTAATTAAAAATCGATTCTGTCTAGTTGGTAACCTACAGACAGAGCAGAACTGCCCCATAGGGTCTCTAAACATTAATCATTTGGAAACTAGACATGTTCATCCCCCGAGCAAATCCACCAGCATTTCAGTTAGCAATCAATTGCTTAACCAGGGTTTCCTTTTGGAGAATAGAATTTAAAAAAATGTCATGTGTGCGTCAATCTGACAGAATTAAGTCAATCTGCTGGGTCAGCTCCATTACCAACTAAGTGGACAGCCTCCCCTCCCCCCAGATGAATTCTTTTCAAAGAGGACAGCACTGAAGCTACAGCTCAGGGAGAAGGACGTGTCTGATCAGAGCACACGGGAGCAAAGGAAGGGGAAGGGAAAAGACTGAAGCACATCCTGGCCCACCAAGCCCTGAGGACGATATTCCTGTCAGAGCAGCCAATGCACAGAGGAACATAGGGCCGGCCCCACCACTAGACACCACATTCCTCACTGACCCATAGCACTATGGGGACAACACTGGAGACACACTGTGGGAATTTGTGCCTGATCTGACCCCACCACACCGAGGTGAAACACTAAGGGCATACAACAGAATAGTAAGGGGAGTAGAGTAATGATGTCCACAGGAAACACCAAAAATAGACTGTGGGGCCAGGCCACCCCATCAGACTCGACTGGAAAACACTCCTAAAGGTCCACAAGTAGACTTGGAATTATTAGTAGGCTTTTCTTTTTCTA